TTTTGTATTTTTAGTAGAGATGGGGTTTCAGCATGTTGGCCAGGCTGGTCTCAAACTCCCGACCTCAGGTGATCCGCCTACTTTGGCCTCCCAAAGTGCTAGGATTACAGGCCCCAGATATTAACTTTAATTGGTTTTGCATGTCATGTTCTAAAATAGCCTCCCACTTTTAAACTAGTGGTGTTTCCTTCTAGGCTTCTATCTTGTTTAACCATTCTGTTAAATAAAAATCACTGTGTACTGAGCATCACCAGGTGCCAGGGACTTCCTCTCTGAATCACATCGAGAGCTAGGGAAATGTTAGTGGTTCCCATAATGCTCATGCTTTTTGTATACGGAATCTGAATATGGAAGCAGTTTCTAAGCTGTTTCTCTGTATTTGGGAACCTTTTTATAACCTACTTAAGGGGATTCTTGAAGATATTCACAATATCAAAGTTAAAATAGAATTTTCTTTGTATCGAGCACTCGTAAACCAACCATTTATGTACTATCAATCTTCAGAGGATGCGCTTACTTTGGATTTATTTCTGCAAGTGCAGGATGCTTGTTGCTGTTCCACACCCTGTAGTTGTGAGTATTCTTCCATGCCGTAATAAAAGTTGTTCCATAGTCCGATAATATCTTTTCATTATCTGTCAAGTAAATAATTGAAAGAAGTTAAGCTCGGCTGTAGCCATGCAGGGATGTGAACATTAACAACCAAAAACGGTGAAGGATGACTTTATCCCCCTGCCCTCACATATTTGGGGGAGATAGCCTACCAGGTGTCAGGAAACTTGGGTCTAGCTCTAGAAATCCTGTTAAGAAGCTATGTGGCCTTTGGCAAGTCACTTAATCACTCAGAATGTCATTTTCTTAAGAGGGTTGAGCCAGATATTTTCCAAGGTTCCTTACAGCTCCAAAATATTTTCATGTTCTCTTTACCATTATGAGGACAGCATTATTAGTTGAACAAAAACTGTATGCTTGACAGTGAATAAACATACTGATTTACATGTATGGCAGAGGCAACTGGGATATCTTTCTGTTTTTATGAATGCCATCCACACCCCACCCTCTGCCGCCCAAAAGAAAATTAGGAATGAATACACAATGTGGTTCTTTCAGTCATGATTTTCTCTTTGGACTTTGTGTCATGATTTGGCATTTCATTCTTGAATTTCCCAGCATTTCACTGTCAAAAATACTTTTAAAAAGCCGGGTGTAGTGGTTCTTACCTGTAATCCCAGCACTTTGGGTAAGCGGACAGATTACCAGAGGTCATGAGTCTGAGACCAGCCTGGCCAACATGGTGAAACCCCATCTCTACTAAAAATACAAAAATTAGCTGGGAAGTGGTGGCATGTGCCTATAGTCCCAGCTACTCAGGAGGCTGAGGCAAGAGAATTGCTTGAACCTGGGAGGTGGAGGTTGCAATGAACTGAGATCATGCCACCGCACACTAGCCTGGGTGATAAGAGACTCCATCTCAAAGAAAAAATATACTAAAAACTGATAAAGTTGTCAGCTTTATCAATACTATGGGAAAACATCCATGCCTGTTTCCCTGACTTGGAAGACCAGAAATGGTTTGGAGAACTGATATAAATGGCTATTACTTCATATATTAACTGCATGTTGTTTGCATTGAAGGTAAAATACAAAGTACCTTTTGTTGGTAGAAAAGAAATGAATGAGATACACAGTTCCACACACAGCATGAAGAAGTTGTTCTAGGAACTTGTTCCTCAAGCAGTTCATTGGCTGAATTTCCTCTTTTGACCTTGTTACTTGTTAAGAGTTTGGGCCTAAGCCAAACTGTCTGGGATCAGAGCCCACCTCAGCCTCTTATCAGATGGATGAGCAAGCTATTTAACCTTTGTGGGCTTCATTTTCTCTTCTGTAGAAGGCGGTGACAAGGTACCTACCTCCAGGATTGTTGTGAGGATGAAATGAATTATTAGATGCAAAGTGCTCGGAACACTGGTCCCTGCACATATTTAATGTTCAAAAAAAAAAAAAAAGTAAGCTACCATTTTCAGTGCTTACAGCTTCCTGGGCAAATATTTTTTTAAAAAGCAAATTAATTACTCAAGCTACATGATGGTGGAGACTCGCTGAAGTTTTCTTTCTAGATTACTGAATGCTTTGGGGTTAAAGGATTTAATTTTGGTGTCTCAGCTGCTACATTTGTGGTGGTGGCAAACATTTAAAAATAACCCATTAACCAAATGAGGACTTGTTCCTTAACCATGTTTTACAAATGAAAAACACTCCTGAAACCTGATTTAAAACTACTTATGCACAATGTGAATAACTAACCTGGCAGCATGTGGTGGTGGTGGCTGGTGTTGATTAAAAAAAATCTATTGACACAACAATGTGAATGTATCTAATAACACTGTGGAATGACACATTTAAAAATGGTAAAAATGGTAAATTTTATGCTATATGTATTTCATCGCAATTTAAAAAATGGTTACAGTTAACTGAAGGAAAAAACACAAGCTCAACACATTTTTAACAACAGTAATGAGTATCTGCCAAATGTCCAAGGTGAAAGGCTCAATGCAGAGCTCCATTTTCACTATTTATACATTTTTTTCCCAAGAGGAATGAGATAGTTTTAATGCAGGAGTAAGCCCATGTTTACCTGTCCCATTTTAACCATTTAATAGGAATAATGTTTCTTAGAATGGGTTATAAATTTGGAAATTTAATCATTTACAACATGATTTTCAATGATTTCTGTTTTTTATATTCTTTTTTCTCCCTTTATAAATCTTAAAAACATGTAGGCAGTATTCATAAACAGCTGCCAAATATTGATATATCTTTCCACAGAAAGGAATACGAGGCAGCTATGTAAAAGTGATGATATATGTTCATGATGATATGTGTTGGTTCTATTATAAAGTAATACAAGGTTTCAGAAAACATGTATAAAGGGATCCATTTTTGTAAAAGGACCACCAAAAGTACCAATAAACTGAAATCCAAAATACATGCATAGGAAGTTCTGAAAGGCTATAAGGTACTCAAGATGTTAAAAGTGGCTCTGTATGAGGGAATAAGTGGTAATTTTTCTATATGGAATATGTATTTATTGTGTAATCCAAAACCTCATAGATGTTACAAAATGAAATATTATAGTAAAACAGCTACCTGTGTGCTCCACAGGGTTTCTTACCTAACTGCAGTGTGGCAGCCAGCAGGGCATGAATGTAGACTGCAAACTGGGCCCGGATCCATTCGTCACCTCCCTCCCAGCCCGTGCCATCTAGGAAGACGTCATCCCGATTCTCAGTCACGTGCCTCACTAGGTAATCTGCGAACCTTAGGTCTGCAGTGGTTGGGTTAAGCAGCTTCCTGAGTTCTGGATCATGAATCTGGATCAGAGCTTCTTCTACCTAGAGGGTATCCAGGTACAAGTCAGAGTCTGGGCATTCACGCAGACATCCATGCCACACTTTACAGAGTAACTACAGGGAAGGTGGAGCTGGAAATAAAAAATATGAATAATAGCATTCTCAAAAGGTGAGTCTAAGAAAGAGGTTTGTACACTGAAGTTTTCTATTTATAAAATGTTCATTTTCTGTTTTTAGAAAATACACACTTAAATAGAGAATTTTACATTATAAAAGTAATTCATGTAGATTGCAAATATTTAGGAAAATATAGAAATATATGTAAAAATCACATTTCACTAGCAGAAATGAACACATTTAACAAGTATAATTCCTTAAATACTTTTTCTTTTGCATGCAGATACTTAGAATATTCTTACTATGTAATATTTGACATACTAAGAAATGCATTTTACAGGTTAGTTTTGAAGTATAATAATAAAAGAAATTCCTATGAACGCACCAACCCACCATAGAACTAGAATGTAACCAAAAATGTTGAAGCAGCTCTGTGATCCTCCCATCTATATCCTCCTGTCTTGGAAAATGTATATATATTTTTCTTCTTCAAATTTGAAATTATAATAGAATGAAAAGTCCAGGATTCAAAAATACATTTATTACAACAATTTGCCCAAGAAATATGTTTCCATACTTTCTGTCAGAAACTACAAAAGCCTTTTATTTTTTGTTTTTGAGACAGAGTCTCACTCTATTGCCCAGGCTGGAGTGCAGTGGTGCAATCTCGGCTCACTGCAACCTCTGCAGCCTGGATTCAAGTGATTCTCCTGCCTCAGCCTCCCAAGTAGCTGGGATTATAAGTGTGTGCCACCATGCCTGGCTAATTTTTGTATATTTAGTAGAGAAAGCGTTTCACCATCTTGGCCAGGCTGGTCTTGAACTCCTGACCCCGTGATCCACCCATCTCAGCCTCTCAAAGTGCTGGGATTACAGGCATGAGCCATCATATCTGGCCTTTCTTTTGGAGACAGGGTCTCACTCTGTCACCTAGGCTGGAGTGCAGTGCTGCAATCTTGGCTCACTGCAACCTCTACCTCCCAGGTTCAAGTGATTCTCCTGTCTCAGCCTCCTGAGTTGCTGGGACTACAGGCACACACCACCACACCCAGCTAATTTTTTTTTTTTGTATTTTTAGTAGACATGGGGTTTCACCATGTTGGCCAGAGGCTGGTCTTGAACTCCTGACCTCAGGTGATCCACCCACCTCAGCATCTAAATGTGCTGGGATTACACGCGTGAGCCACTGCACCAGGCCTCATAAAATTTCTTTGTCAAAAGTTATTTCAGGCTGTGTGCAGTGGCTCACGCCTGTAATCCCAGCACTTAAGGACGCCAAGGCAGGTGGATCACCTGAGGTCAGGAGTTCGAGACCAGCCTGGCCAATGTGGTAAAACCCCATCTCTACAAAAATTGAAAAAATTAGCTGGGTGTGGTAGCAAGCACCTGTAATCCCAGCTACTCGGGAGGCTGAGGCAGGAGAATCACTTGAACCCGGGAAGTGGAGGTTGCAGTGAGCCGAGACCATGTTATTCTACTCTAGCCTGGGCAACAAGAGCGAAACTCTGTCTCAAAAAAGAAAAAAAGATTATTTCAATTGTAAAATAACAAATTTCTTATATATTGATGTCAAATATTTATGCATAGCTTCCTTCTTGGTATCAAGAGCATTCTAAACAGGCTAGAAGGATTAAAATTACTTAAACAACAAACACATTTTTAAAATCGTGAGGTACTGATAGGCCCAGTTGCCCAGATTGGTATCCTGGTTTACCCATTTACTGGGTGTTTGATATTGTACAAATCACTTAATCTCTCTGTTCCTCAGCCTCTGCAGTGTAAAATGTGGATAGTATAGTGCTATTGACTGGGTTGTTATGAGAATAAGACCAGTTAATACACATAAAATACTTACAATACATGACATGCAGTTACAATTATTAGCATTTCTAGTGTTGTTACTATACATTCATAACTGTAGTTAAGAAAGGAAAACTGGGATAAGCAGGGCCAAATACACACACTCACACATAAACGTACTTCCACAATGGCATCACTGAGGTGTTTCTGTTGTCGAAAAAGGATGTTAGTAGCTCCAGCAACAAATCCCCGAACGGTGACATCGGAGAGAAGATGATGCTGCTGCAATGCCATGTAAGGCAAACACAGATATCCCTATGAATTAGAAGAGTAATAGAAAATATCAGAAAAGTAAAAGGTTACCTTTCTCTTTAAACTTGAGAGGTAACAGTCAGAAAAGAAACTCCCATTCTTCCTGCCCTGTAAATCAGCTAATCTTGGACTCCCAGGGGAACTTCAAGTTTTGACTGTAATAAGTCCAGTTAATGATTAGCCAATTGTCTCCATGAATGGTCAAATCTTGCCAAGATGGTTTAATATGAAGGCTGTCTTTCTTGATCACTTTGTTCTTGTTTAATTTAAAAGCCTCTACAGAAACTAATGAATGGAACTGTTTCATTTAGGAGATGAAGCATTGCACTTGTTAATAAGTACATTGTTTAGTAGAAGGCTGTTAAAAATTTTAAATACATGCATCTACACATAAACACTCCAAAGTAGTATTAGGAGAATAGGAAAGCACTGCATAGCATTTGTTACATTGTCCTATGCTAAAAATCATGCACAAAGATTTCAAGATATTTGCTATTAAATATTTAAAACAAAAATGACACTGGTAGTATTTGTGTATTTAATTAATTTCCATTTGAATTTTATTTGAAAACAGCATTTGCTCCACCTTTTTGAGATGGTCTTGCTCTGTGACCAGACTGGAGTGCAGTGGCATGATCTCAGCTCACTTCAATCTCCGAATCCCTGGTTCAAGCTATTCTCCCACCTCAGCCTTCCGTGTAGCTAGGACTGCAGGCGCAAGCCACCACGCCCAGCTAATTTTTGTATTTTTTTTTAGTAGAGATGGAGTTTCACCATGTTGGCCAGGATGGTCTCAATTTCCTGACCTCATGATCCACCCGCCTTGGCCTCCCAAAGTGCTGGGATTACAGGCGTGAGCCACTGCGCCCAGCCCACAAATTGATGTTCTTTATTGCAACTAGGGGAGCACTCTGTGTAGCTAATAGGTGGTTGTTAAATACTGAATATGAAAAGACTTTCAAAAGTTAGAATATATGTCTAGTAATTTGGTTATATTCTTACTCTTGATAATGTCTTCCTTGCTTGATCACACCCTAACTAGCAGCAGCAGCAACAATAAATCCATGTCTTTGCATCAGAGATGCTCAGTACAGAGCTTCTCAACCCAGGCTCCTCATTCAGAATCAGTATTATATTTCACAATAACAACAAAACTAAAAAGTATGTTTAAAAAAAAATAAGGTCAAAGCTTTTAAAAAATATTTAAAAATCCTTTAAAAATGTATAAATATACATGCTTTTTGGCCCAGCATTCTACTTGTAATTTATCCTACAGTATCCTAGAAATATTATATCATGTATGATGTTATATTTATGAAAATAAATGTAATATCAAAAGACTAGAATCCAAACCGTTCATTAATAGCGGACTAAATAAATGTTCATCCATACACTGAACCCTGCAGCCATAAAAAATGATGTTCATCTCCAAAGAATATTACGGGCTGGGCATGGTGGCTCATGCCTGTAATCCTAGCACTTTGGGAGGCTGGGGCAGGAGGATCACTTGAGGTCAGGAGTTCGAGACCAGCCTGGCCAACATGCTGAAACCCTGTCTCTACTAAAAATTCAAAAATTGTCCAGGCATGGTTGCGGGCAGCTGTAATCCCAGCTACTCAGGAGGCCAAGGCAGGAGAATTGCTTGAACTCAGGAGGTGAAGGGTGCAGTGGGCCAAGATCGCACCGTTGCACTCCAGCCTTGAAAAAAATAAAAATATTATGTAAAAAAGAATCAGGGGGCTGGGCATGATGACTCACATCTGTAATCCCAGCACTTTGGGTGGCCAAAGTGGCAGGACTGCTTGAGCCCAGGAGTTCAAGATTGGCCCAGGCAGCAGAGTAAGACATTGTCTCTAGAAAAAAAAAATTAAAAAGGTTAGGAGTGGCAGCCCATGCCTGTAATCCTGGCACTTTGGGAAGCCGAAGAGGGCAGATTACCTGAGGTCAGGAGTTCGAGACTAGCCTGGCCAACACGGTGAAACCCCATCTCTATTAAAAAATATAAAAATGAGCTGAGCATGATGGTGCGCACCTGTAATCCCAACAGCTTGGGAGGCTGATGCAGAATTGCTTGAACCCGGGAGGTGGAGGTTGCAGTGAGCTGAGATCACACCATGGCACTCCAGCCTGGGTGAAGAGAGCAAAAACTAGGTCTCAGAAAAAAAAAGAATAAAGGTTAAAAATGGGCACATTCTGCCACCATTTGTAAAAAGGGAGGGGAAAAATATGCATTTGTTTTTGCATAGAATACCCCCAGAAGGAAACACAAGACAGTGACAATGTTGGCTGCCACTAGAGAGGGCAGCTGGATAGCAGGGGATGGGACGGAAGGGAGACTTTATTAGCATTCTTGTGGGTCCAGCTACTCAAGAGACTGAGGTAGGAGGACAGCTTGAGCCTAGGAAGTCAAAGCTGCAGTGAGCTGAGATCATGCCACTGCTCTCCAGGCTGGGTGACAGAGTGAGACTCTGACACAAACAAGTTGTACCATTACCTTTAGTCATGATCAACTTTTAGTAATGATCAACTTAGCCTACATTTAAATGTATGGTGGCAAAAAGAGCAAGGGTCCTTTCACACAAAGCAGCCTCCACGCCCAAGCCCACTCCTGCCTTTCCACTTTTCTAAGCACTTAAACTTCCATATTTGAAACTGCAGTATACAGTGGTTTTAAAAACCTCCAAACATATTATTGGTGATATACTTGTACACCCATGCTTTGTAGCAGCACTATTCACAATAGCCAAGAGGTAGAGGCAACCCAAATATCCAATGATCGATGGATTGATAAACAAAATGTTGAACATATATACCATGGAATATTATTCAGCCTTAAAAAGGAAGGAAATACTGTCACATGCTACAACATGGATGAAGCTTGAGGACATTATGTTAAGTGAAATAAGCCTGTCAAAAATAGACAGATACTGTTTAATGCCTCTTATATGAGGTACTTAAAGTAGACAAATCATAGAAAAAAGAATGGTGGTTACCAGGGGGTGGGCGAAGTAGGGGAAATGGGGATTTGTTCATGGGTATAGTTTCAGTTCTGTAAGGCGAAAAGGTTTTGAAATCCGTAGCACAAAAGTGTGAATAACAGTTATCACAACTGAACTATATATTTTAAAATGGTAAAGATCGTAAATTTTGTGTTTTTACCATAATTAAAAAACAAACAAAACCACATCTCAATGAGGGGAATCGGGTAGAACTCTTCTGAGCGGGTCTAAGGAGCTGCAGAAGAATAGTGTGCCTTCTTTCACACAACTCAGAAGGGGCCAGGAAGTGACTGGGATCAAGGGCCATTTTCTCATCACTTCTCTAGTCAAGGATGATATTAAGAAGTGTGGTTACAAATTGGTAGCCTCCAAGTTGCAGCAAGGTCAATTCTCTCCAAAACTGATCTATGGTCTAAATGTAATGGCTATCAAAACCTCCATCTGTGTAAGTGTATAACTATGAACTGGAGAAGCTAATTCTAAAACTGATGAGGAAATGCCAAGGACTAAGAAACTCTTGAAGAACAATAGTAAGACACAAGGCTTTCCTCTCACCAGCACGACTTACAGGTCATTAGCACAATGTGGGGACTGACACAGGGACAAATATACTAATGGAACAGCAACAAGAGTCCAGAAACACACACTTCCCCAAGCAAACACAAAAATCAATTCCAGGTAGAGAAAAACCAAAATGTGAAAGTCAAAACTATAAAGCTTAAGAAAAATAGGCCACGTGGTGGCTCATGCCTGTAATCTTAGCACTTTGGAAGGCTGAGGCAGGCGGATCGCCTGAGGTCGGGAGTTTGAGACCAGCCTGACCAACATGGTGAAACCCCGTCTCTACTAAAAACACAAATTAGTTGAGCGTGATGGTACATGCCTGTAATCCCAGCTACTCAGGAGGCTGAGGCAGAGGAATCACTTGAACTTGGGAGGCGGAGGTTGCAGTGAACTGACATTGTGCCATTGCACTCCAGACTGGGCAACAAGAGCAAAACTGTTTCAAAAAATATGTATATATTAAAATATATATATTTATAATATATATATTAAAATATATATGTATTTTAAATACGTATATTTTAAATACATATTATTTAATATATTTTTAGTATATATATAAATATAACATGTATATTTTTAATATACATATTAAACATATTTGAATATATTTTTAATACATATATTTTAATACACATATTTAATATATACTTTAAATACATATATATATATATATATATATATATATATATGAGAATGTCTTTATGATCCTGAGGTAGGAGAGAATTCCTTATACAAGAATTCCAAAGGCAGGTGCGATGGCTCATGTCTGTATTCCCAGGACTTTGGGAGGCTGAGGCACGCGGATCACTTGAGGTCAGGAGTTCCAGGCCAGCCTGGCCAACATGGTAAGACCCTGTCTCTATTATATATACAAAAATCAGCCAGGCATAGTGGTGGGTACCTGTAATCCCAGCTACTTGGGAGGCTGAGGCAGGAGAATTGTTTGAACCTGGGAGGTGGAGGTTGCACTAAGCCGAGATAATGCTAACATACTCTAGCCTGGGGAACAGAGTGAGACTCTCTCTCAAAAAAACAATACAAACAAACAAAACCCATAACAAGAATTCCAAAGAACTTGTTTATTCACTGACTATAAGGGGAAGAATCTAGCTTTTAACGCATACTATGCAAAAAGAAATCCAAATAGCCAACAAGTATATGAAAAAGATGTTCAAGCTCAGTAGCAATGATCAAAAAACGCAAACTAAGAGCCACACAGTATCATCAGATTGACTAAAACTAGTCTGACAATATCAAGTGTGGGGAATGTGGGGCAATAGGAACTCTGATACATGGCTTATGAGAATGGTAACTGTTATAACCGCTTTAGAAAATAATTTGGAATTATTCAGTAAGGCTGAAGGATACTCATTTTCTATGATCAAGTATTCTTTCCTTTAGGCATTGGATCCTAGAGACACTCTGGCACGTATACCTCAAAATCCCTGAACAGGAACTTCACACCAGCATTATTTATAGTAGCCAGAAACTGGAAAAAATGTAGATATCCATCCATAGGAAAAATGACAAACTGCAGAATAGTCATATAATGGGACATTGCCAGGGAATAATAATATACAGCTTCATGCAAAACATGGGTAAAACTATAAACAATGCTGAGAAAAAAATAGTTCTCGGAGTATCCCCATTTTTCTAAGAAAAAGACAATGTTATTTTTCTTAGAAAAGACAATGCTATCTTTTTTCTTCTCTTTTCTCGATTTCCTATTCCCCACACCCTAATTAGCTCTTTAGAAATGCAATTTCTAAATTTTACCTCCCTTTTTACCTCCCCTTCACCACACACTCCCTTTAGGGCAAGTTCATCTAACAATGTGCTTAAAAGCTCTGCAGTGGTTCCAGGACTCTTACCCACCAGGAGACTGCCTAGAGAGACAACAGTCAATTTACAACACAGAGTGTCCATCAGGAAGCTCTACCACCTGGAGAGTTTCAGAGTTTTAGCCACCCTACAACCTACTTCTGCCCATGAAGATGCCAACTATACCACCCGGTAGATAAGGCACTGAAGTACATGAACCTCCACCTGCTTGGTTCCTCTTCTGTGTGCCATTTATGCCAGGCACACTTTTTATATTTCTTATAAAAAGTACCCACTTCCTGCTCCAAAAGTGAAGCAGGAGCCTTAAGGCAGGAAGCTTGTACTTCTTCCCCTAACCTAGTTTTGGAGTAAGTCACTTCATACCACACCTTGCTCTTGTTAATTGGACTCTGCAAGCACCAAGTACTGAACCTGCATTTGGTTACAGTTCCACTTAAAATTTATAAACATATATCTCTCACTTTTCAGAGAGTCAATTAGGTTATCTGCAGGTTCACTAAACTTGAAAATGACAATCTGCAAGCAAGTGAGCCAACTATAAACTTAGAAGCATTCATTCATTCATTCATTTTTTTGAGAAAGGATCTTACTCTGTCACCCAGGCTGAAGTGCAGTTGGCACAATCTCAGCTCACTGCAACCTTCACCTCCCAGGTTCAAGAGATTTTCCTGTCTCAGCCTCCCAAGTAGTGGGGACTACAGGCACCTGCCACCCCACCTGGCTAATTTTTACATTTTTAGTAGAAAAGGGGTTTCACTATGTTGGCCAGGCTGGTCTTGAACTCCTGAACTCAGGTGATCCACCTACCTTGGCCTCCCAAAGTGTTGGGATTACAGGCTTGAGCCACTGCGCATGGCCAGAAGCAATATTTAAATGAGTTTAATCTGAGTGGCAGGTAAAAGAATAGTTTCCAACTACATATACTTTTAACTGTTTCATAAATCTGTGACTTTAAAAAGTTCGGGATTGGGCCAGGTTCAGAAGGTCGTGGTGGGTGAATCACTTGAGCCCAGGAGTTCGAAACTAGCCTGGGCAACATGATGAAACTCTGTTTCTACAAAAAAAATGCAAAAATTAGTTGGGTGTTGTGGTACACGTCTGTAGTCCCAGCTGCTTGGGAGGCTGAGGCGAGAGGATCATTTGAGCCTGGAAGGTCAAGGCTGCAGTGAGCTGAGATCATGACACTGCATTCCAGACTGGATGAAAAGCAAAACTCTGTCTCAAAAATAAACTAAGTTACAAATAAAATGAAATTTAAGGGAATTCTAAATTAAGTCATCTTTTGGTGGAGGTAACTGTGTATTTTTTTTTTTAAAGTACCAGATTTAATAAAAACCAAATAAAGTGACTACTGCTCTTAAAAATTTAAAAACTCAGCAGAACAGAACTTGAAATCACCTTCCTTATCTCTCAAACACTGAAAGTCACATTTCTTTGGTTATAGATTGAGGTAACTTTAAAAAAAAATTAAATGTAAAACAATTTTATTTTTATTCTCTACCCCCAGTGCTTCATTTGACTAGCCTTAAACATTACTGTTATTATTTTGGCAGGGTGTGGTGGCTCACACCTATATAGCCCCAGCTACTTGGAAGGCTGAGGCAGGCTGACTGCTTGAGCTCAGGAGTTCAAGACCAGCCTGGACAATATGACAAAACCCCATCTCTACCAAAAATTAGCTAAGCGTGGTGGCATGTGCCTGTAGTCCCAGCTACCTGGGAGGCTGTGGTGGGAGGATCGTTTGAGCACGGGAGATAGAGGTTGTACAGAGCTGAGATTGTACTGCTGCATCCCAGCCTCGGCAACAGAGTGAGACTCTGCCTCAAAAAAAAAAAAAAAAAAAAAGAAAAGAAAAAGATTATTATTAATTTTATTTTTTAAAATAATTATTTGTTGAGATGAGGTCTTGCTCTTTTGACCAGGTTGGAGTGCAGTGGTGTCACCATGGCTCACTGCAGTTTCGATCTCCTGAGCTCAACTGATCCTCTCACCTCAGCCTTCCAAGTAGCTGGGACTGCAGCCACATCCCACCATGTCAATTTTTGTGCTTTTAGTAAAGACGGGGTTTCACCATGTTGGCTAGGATGGTCTCGATCTCTGGACCTCGTGATCTGTCTGCCTTTGCCCCCCAAAGTGCTGGGACGACAGGTGTGAGCCACCACGCCCGGCCCCAGCTAATTTTTTAATTTTTACCTTTAGTAGAGTCAAGGTCTCACTATGTTGCGCAGGCTGGTCTCAAACTCCTGACCTCAAGTGATTCTTCTGCCTTGGTTGAGTTAAAGTTTTTAAATTGACAATAATTGCATTGAGGTAATTTCTAATTAGAGTTCCATTACAGTGATGGCTCAATTAATTTTACTAAATAATGGCAATAATCTCATAACTGGAAAAAAGGGAGAAAGCTGATGCATGAGATTAAAGCAGGTGAGACTCCGAGCTCCAAGGGCTCCAGTCCTTTCTGGCCAGTCCTCCACTAACTACTTTGCTCCACTGTGCGGCCAGTTCCCAAACACTTTCAGTAGCAAGATGGGAAGACCTAGCATCAGGAAAGAATGGAAGGAAAGCCCTCAGAATTTTTTTTTTTTTTTTTTTTTTTTGGACAGGGTCTTGCTCTGTCACTCAGGCTGGAGTGCAGTGGCATCTCAGCCCACTGTAACTTCCACCTCCTGGGTTCAAGCCATTCTCCTGCCTCAGCCTCCCCACTGGGATTACAGGCGTGAACCACCACACCCAGCTAATTTTTGTATTTTTAGTAGAGATGGGGTTTTGCCATCTTTACATTGCTTTGTCTAATTTGTCAGCAACCTGACAAAGCCAAAATCCCTCTCCAGTTAATTTCCCTCTTGATATCATCACAGTAGTAAAAGTTAGAGGTCAAGTGGGTGAAACAGCAAAGTCAGGGCTCCAAAAGGTACAGGAAGTCATAACACAGTTCAGAAAGCCCATAATTTGTGGCTATCTGCTTTACCAGTAGTCTGAGAAACGTGAGTTTTCTTCCCAAATTCTTAAATTCCAGTTTTAAGAAACGGCATTGGATTAATCATGAAATCAGTTAAGATAATTTCAGAATCCCAAGCAGGTCACAAAATGAACAAAGATGGCATTCTATACTAACTATTCACCAATAATGACTATGGACAAGTACATCTTTGCAAAGCTGAGTAAACTCAGAGAGAATTTATTGAAGAATATAGAAGAGGAATAAATACTTGTTTAAGCCAACACTACCCATCTTTCTTTTCCACAGAAACTTTTACTTCGTGGATACCAGACAGTATTCGGGGAAAAGAGAATACTTTGTTCTAGTAACCGGAAAGGTGGTGCATCTAACTTTCATGGTACACTGTAAGATCACAGACGGCAAGAATTCAGAATCTAGTAAGGTGCCTGGCACATGGAAGGTCAATAAATACAGCTGGTGCTTCACATCTGTGGGTTCCACATACCAGATTCAACCAAGCTTGGATTAAAAATATTGAGAAAAGGGCCGGGCGCGGTGGCTCAAGCCGGTAATCCCAGCACTTTGGGAGGCCGAGGCGGGTGGATCACGAGGTCAAGAGATCGAGACCATCCTGGTCAACACGGTGAAACCCCGTCTCTACTAA